AAGGCAGAAGGACCTAGGAGTGCCAGTGGGGGACTCCTGAAGAGAGGGATCGAAAAACTATTGCATAGAACAGGTAAGTGTAACATGTTTTGTTTTTTTTGTTTTTTTGTTATGTTTTTTAAAAGATCCATTACAAATCACATACCATTTGTGTAGCAATCTCCTCATCAGACCACAGTTTCACAGTGCATACTATGACTTGCAATATCAAGCAGCTAACTCTTTCTTATCTGGGTCTAAATTTGGTGTTACCAAACTTTTACGTGTTGAGGGGGATGAATAGATGAGATGGGAATTCACCTAAAAGACATTTGCCCTGGGCCCACCAGTGTCTTTAACCAGTTCCTGACCGCCCCACGCAGATATACTGCTGCATGGCGGTTGCTGTGCGCTGGATCACATATCTGATACGCGATTAGTGCTTTCAGGTATTGTTATACAGGATTTATTATTATTATGTATGGCCGTGTGCCCGCCACCCAGGATGTCCTGTGATTCAGCACAAGTTGATCAATGGGTCCCGGCCAATGACTGATCATCAGGACCCGCTGATCGGCTCAGTGATTCATGGAACAAAGCTTTGTGATTGTGAACAACACAGAGCTCTGTACTGTGAGAGGCGATCTTGCTGTTTTTTTTTATTCCCTGCTAAGCAGGGAAAAAAACAAGAAGGTCCCTTAGTTAAAGCACCACATATTACACACATTAACATTTGTTAGGCACACAATTAACCCCTTGATTGCCCCTAGATGTTAACCCATTCCCAGCCAGTGCTATTAGTACAGTGACAGTGTATAGCATTAGCACTGATCACTGATTTAGTGTTACTATTGCTGTCAGTGTAAGTTAGCCAGTTAGTGAACCCCCCAACCAGCGTCAGCTAGTGTCAGATTGACTGTCACACGATCACAGTCTCATTATAAGTCGCAGATCGCGGACCATCGTATTTAGACACCATAACGTTTATGCAAACCAATTAATATATGCTTATTGGGATTTTTTACCAAAGACATGCAGCAGAATATATTTTGGCCTAAACTTATGAAGAAATTGTATTTTTGTTAACTTTTTATTGGATATGTTTTATAGCAGTAAAAAATATTGTTTGTTTGTTTTTTCAAAATTTGCAGTCTTTTTTTCCTTTATGTAATAAAAAAATAAAAACCCTAGTAGTGATCAAATACCACCAAAAGAAAGCTCTATTTCTGTGAAAAAAATGATATAAATTTCTTTTGGGTACAGCATTGCATGACCATAAGTTAAAGTAGCATAAAGTCGAATAGCAAAAAATGGCCTGGTCTTCATGAGGTCAAGTGGTTAAAAGGCGTTACTTGTAAATCTGGTTAAAATTCTGTGCTATATGTTATGGTATGCTATCACCTGCTGGCCAAGCTGTGAAAAGATAATTTTTCCACTAACAGTAAAGTGGCTGAAAGACTTCATGTATACTTTCCTTTTTCAGATATACAGAGTGAAGTACTGTAAACCATACACTACATAATCATTTTCTAAAAATTGTTCCCACCAGAATATGAACACCCATTGTTTAGTAAAGATGGTAGCTAGAGTAGGGACATCACACTAGTAAATTAAACTAGTCAAGTTTTAGTCTTTGCACTTGGAAACTGGCAGCCATTTTTTAGGTCAATGCAAAGACTAACCAGTAAATCAAAATCCTTGTTTTGTCTGCAACACGCTGCAAAAATTATTGTTGTAAACTGATTGGTAGTGTAGGGAACTGTTATTTTATACATTAGTTGTGGTTTGTTTACATTCATATACAGCCACTACCATAGAGGTCCCATTGCAGACAAGTCCCTAGGTGTGCTTCCTGCCCCTGCTAGGAGGTCAAGAATCCTCAGGATGTTATATAGTTTGTTTTCCAGGAAGTATCAGGCAGAGGGTGCCAGCCTGCCATGTGCTGTGTATCTGGGGGGGACTGTATGGTGATTCTGTGAGTATTGATCCAGATTAACAAGGCTGCTATCTATCTAGTTGTTACTGAAGCAGATTAGGTCTGCCTCTGTTATATTTCAACTTCTGTATTGGAACCCTAATATCTCTGTAAGAGAGAGAGTTGTGGTTCATTATCATTATTCTATTTACACACTGCAGAATCCTTATAGTTGTCTATATATATATATAGATCAGTGTTTTCACCTGCATAAGACTGTCAGGTGAACTTTCTGTTAATTGCAGTGTATCTTTGCAGCCTCTTTGCTTAAAGCCATAGCATCCTTATTGGTCTGGATCTCCCTTTAGCTAGGATTAGCATAGGGAACGTTGGATAGATTAGGCTAGAGGTAGGTTAGGCATCTGATGACCACTTAGACAGATAGAGGCCCGGTTGCAGTGACAGCCCAGTTTTATGGATAGGGACTAAGAGTGAGGATAGATAGGGCATTTTATCCTTTTAGGTGATGCATCGCTGATTGTCAGACAAGCAGTGCATTCATCCGCATAGAATGTGTTACTTGGACGCCATCGCAGCATCTGAAGTGGAAGTGTGCATCTTATTGACTCTCACCTCTCCAGGGTCCCCTACAACCGGACTGCGCTATAACCCATGGTTGGAGGTATTCTGTATACTACATGCACATATACCCGGGTATAATTGCAACCTCCCAATTTATGGTAAATTGTAATTCCCGAATGTTATTCTTATGCATCCTGTTTTATGTGGCTGCTTTATATAAACTTTGCATTATTCTCATACAGGTGTGGTGACATGTTTTCATGTTAGATATATAAGCTGGGTGCATTAATACTGTTGTGTATAGTTACTTTAAGTTGTCTACCTGTTACATTCCTTGAAAGGGATGAGTCTCCTCAATTGCAGGATCCCTATTCTAGGTGGAGGCACTGCCATTTGTATTATCACAACCCCCTCTTCCATATAGTGAAGGCTCAGGATTGCCTACTCATATACAGGTTAGCGCCATAGCCTGTTTGGTGTGGGCCATTTCACATAACCCCTCCCAAACAGGGCTACAGTAGCAATGGACAATAAAAAAAGTTATTATTCGCATGCTTTTTTTAAAATAAGGTCTTAGGGAAAAAAAAATATATTAAGAATCAATGCAGAGTCTTTTTCAGGGATCATCTACTCACCGGCGCACATCTATGCACTGGCACTGGATCTCTGTCAGCCGTGGCGGTGTGCATGCGCATGTACAGGAGCGCGCGGTTATGCGCATGCGCACCGGTGTGCAAGTCATCACAAGGCTGGCTATTTAAATCACCAATACACTTTAGCCTATGCCTTCTGGTCTATAATGTCCTGCACCCATAACCTGATTTTGTTGACTGTATCTGATCTGACCCTGACTACGAAAGAACTCCTGCACCGACCCGGCTTATCCCTGACTATCTGCTTGCCTTCTCCCTTGTACCTGATCTGCCTGATTGATCCTGATCCGGATTGTCTGATGCTGCTGCACCTATGTTACTGCATCCGCACCTGGCTTGTATCCTGGTTACCGCCATAGCTACCTGCTGCTGCACCTACGTTCCTGCATCTGCACCTGGCCTTCATCCTGGTCTCCTGAGTCATCACCTGCCTACAGTCATCTCAAGACCCGCCAGGCACTCTTGCCCCTCCTGGTTCAGTGCCCTCTGTCCCCACTATCGGGATCTGAGCAGGAGTAGTAGTAAGAGGACGCCCTCCTCTCCACGTCAGACTCCACAACCAGGTACGGCTCTCTACCGCTGTATTTCCCAGTTTGATACTTCTAGAGTATCCAGCTTGTACGATACCTGGTATGGGGATATACGCACCCTAACAAACAAGGACTGGGAAGAGGGCATTCAGCAATATCTCCCTCTCATGATATCAGCAAGGGACAGATGGACCCAACTAAAATTCCTTCATAGAGTGTATTATTCTCTTTAGAGATTATCTTCTTTACGCTACAGCAGATCCTATCTTCCCCAAGTGCCGGGCCTCAGTGGGCACATTCATACACATGGTTTGGTCCTGCCCTAAACTACAAATTTTTGGGGGGGCATTAGTGTCTGAAGTTGGTGCAATAAATGGCCTGACGATACCTATGGATCCACTAATGCTGTTACTGGAGATATGTGACACACTTGCTACCACACACCATAATAAACTATTTTTGTTTTATGCCTTTCATTATGCAAGAAAAGCTATTCTCCTTACGTGGAAAGTGTCTGATTCCCCCTCGATAGCCATTAATTAACAATGTGCTTCCGATATATAAACTCACATATCTAGTTCGCAACTGCCCTAAAACAATTCATAAGATCTGGTCTGCATGGATAAGGGCTCGGGATCTGACAATCTGAAGAAATGTACATGCCTTTCCCTGTTCTTCCCCTCCAACCCATATTCCCTCTTCTCTTTACCATCTGCCTTAATGCTGGATACCTCCTGCCGCTAAACCTGCTGTCCATATAAAGCAATGGCAATATGTAGGCTGTCTCTACTGCTGATTCATTTGGGCTCAATGTACACTATATTACCAAAAGTATTGGGACGTCTTCCTTTGCACGCACATGAACTTTAATAGCATTCAAGGGTTCAATATTGAGTTGGCCCACCCTTTGCAGCTATAACAGCTTCAACTCTTCTGGAAAGGCTGTCCACAAGGTTTAGGAGTGTGTCTGTGGGAATGTTTAGCCATTCTTCCAGAGGCGCCTTTGTGAGGTCAGGCACTGATGTCGGACGAGAAGGCCTGGATCGCAGTCTCTACTCTAATTCATCCCAAAGATGTTCTATCAGGTTGGGGTCAGGATTCTGTGCAGGCCAATCAAGTTCCTCCACCCCAAACTTGCTTATCCATGTCTTTATGGACCTTGCTTTGTGCATCCCCAAACTGTTCTCAAAAAGTTGGAAGCATGAAATTGTCCAAAATGTCTTGGTACGCTGATGTCTTACGAGATCCCTTCACTAGAACTAAGGGGCCAAGTCCAACCCCTTGAAAACAACCCCACACCATAATCCTCCTCCACCAAACTTTACACTTGGCACAATGCAGTCAGGCAAGTACCATTCTCTTGGCAACCACCAAACCCAGACACATCCATCGGCTTGCCAGATAGAGAAGCATGATTCAGCACTCCAGAGAACACGTCTCCACTACTCTAGAGTCTAGTGGCAGCGTGCTTTATACCATGCTATCAAAACTGAAAAAAAAAAAAATTTAAATGAATAAAGAGAATAAGGAATATAGTGCTTTATACCTCTGCATCTGACGGTTTGCATTGTAAGGCTTGGATGCAGCTGCTTGGCCATGCAAACCCATTCCCTGAAGCTCTCTATGCACTGTTGTGCTAATCTGAAGGCCACATGAAGTTTGGAGGTCTTTAGCTATTGACTCTGCAGACAGTTTGTGACTTTTGTGCACTGTGCGATTCAGCATGCGTTGACCCCGCTCTGTCATTTTACATGGCCTCCCACTTTGTGGCTAAGCTGCTGTTGCTTTCACTTTGTTATCATACCACTAACAGTTGACCATGGAATATTTATTAGTATGGAAATTTCACGGATGGACTTATTGCACATGTGACAATCTATCATGGTACCACACTTGAATTCACTGAGCTCCTAAGGCTACGTTCACACTAGCCTTGTTTTCAAGTGGCAGAAAGGTGTTTGGGAAGCGTTTTTACCGCTTCCCAAACGCCTCGGACAATTCTGCCCATTGCAGCACATAGTGCTGTTCTAATGGGAGCGGTAGCGGCACGGCGCGGCACGGTACGGCAAAATAGACGCCTCTGGTCGAGTCAGGAGGCGTTGAAGCCTCCTATTCTAGTCTACGGTTGCAACACGGTTGCAGGGTGTTTGCAGAGCGGTAACACCATCCAAACTTCATTATGTGTTTGTGGGGCATTTTTAACGCTCGGCAAACGCCTAGCAACTGCCGTTGAACCGCACATGCGGTGTTTGCGGAGCGTTTGACGAGCGTTAAAAAACGCTCTGCAAACGTCGGACCAACGCTTGCCAAACGCCCCTGGTAAAACAGTCAAGTGTGAACGAGCCCTAAGAGTGACCCATTCTTTCACAAATGTTTGCAGAAGCAGCCTGCATGCCTAGGTGCTTGATTTTATACACCTGTGACCATGGAGGTGATTGGATCACCTGAATCCAATGATTTGGAGGGTGTCCCAATAGTTTTGGCAATATACTGTATGTTCCACACTAGGTTTCTAGAAACACTGTATGCCCTAGAGCAGGGGTCTCCAAACTGTGGCCCTCAGCTGTTGAAGCACTACAAGTCCCATCATGACTCTGTCTCTGAGAGTCTTGCCTGTGGCTGTCGGAGTCTTGCAAGGCCTCATGGGACTTGCAGTTCCTCAACACCTGGAGGGCTGTAGTTTGGAGACCCCTGCCTTAGAGTTTACCTTTGCCCAAAAGTTTTATAGACATTGACTATGTAGGTGATAACATGTTAGTATACAGTATATCCTGGGGATGTTCCTTATGATGTGTATTTCCACATGTCTCACATCTTCTGCTAGCACGTTTTTGTTTGTATTGTGTTATTTTTTCTTTGTATGTCATTATGATTATTATTGTAATGTCCTTTTATGGAAATCTTAATTAACTTCACTGTTTTTAAAACAGTGGAGGGAGCAACTCACACTGTAGCTGTACATTCACCCTTGCTGAACCAGAATTATGTTGTGAACCTTTTAATGAATGCACTGTGTCTTCCTGTGCGATTCACACCGCATGCAAACCGGAGACAATTTGCAATCTTCAGCGGGTGTCAATAATAAGTTAATGACACACCAAATGCAGGTTGCAAACACAGTGAGTGTGACAGCACCACATTGTAGGGTAGTTTTGTACCATGCGATCCAGTTACAGTGCATTTTAAAAAGTAGTGCATGCACTACTTTTTTTGCAGTACGGTGATGTGTGATTTTAGCCCTTTCAAAATTAATAGACTGAAATTGCACCTCACAGAACCACATGTGAATCGCACAGGAATGCACAGCTCATTCCTGTATGCGCATGTACCAGCCCTTACACTAGATTTTATGGATATTTGTTTAGGGAGAATCAGGGAGCAATATATATATTTTAGACAACTTCACTATAACCTGCTGACTTATACACTGCATTGATGATGGTCAACAAGCTGTATGCAGTTAATAGTAACTGGCTATAATATACCCATTTGAAGACCAAAATGTTACTCCCCATTCCTGCCCAGTCCATTTTTCAGTTTTCAGCACTGACTGACAAATTGTTTGGTCAAGAAACACTGTACCCAAATTAATTTTCAATCATTTTTTTTAAAATAGTTAGAGCTTTCTTTTGGTGGTTTGTGTGATTTTTTTTTTCGTTACAAATTGAAATTCGGATGAAATTTGCATCCGAATCCACAAATCACAATAGTAATGAATTTCAACGAGTCCAAAATACATTATACCGAAAATAACAAATTCTCTTGTAATAATTTGTTCATTCAGATGACATGATGCAATAGTTTGGCCCTTTTATTAATGTTTGCAGCTTCCAAAATAACATAATGAATGATTAGAATTGATTTGGATCCATTCACTTTTATTCTAGTGAGCGTAGCATGAATATTTTAATTAGATTCTTTTTTTATTGTGGTTGAACTTGAGAGACCATTTGTTTGATTTGTACTGCATGGCCCTAAATTAAGTAAAAGGAAATCAATTCAACTTAATAGCATGACAAATAAATATGTATTTATTCAGATTCATTCTTTTTATTTGGATGAGAACGGTGCAGTAGTCTTTGACTCTTGGAAAATCAGATGATTCTTTTTGCATTAACATTTTTCATTATTATAAAAATGCATTACATATGAAATGGAAGCATATTGCAATAAATACAGTAAGGTATAAATGTGAAATAAGATGATTGCTACTTACTGTATTTGGGATGGATGGAGATGGATCCATCAGAATCTCTGAATCATAATATAATGAATGAATCCAAAATTAATTTTGTTCCATTGGTTACTTTCAGATGCACAGTACTCCAGGTCATATAGTCAATTAGCTCATTCCATTTCTTTTTGTAGGCTGGACTAGTAGGGATATATCCAGTCTTTCGACAACAAAAGATTAACAGAACTTCCAAAAATATGAATTGATTTGGAACAACAAATATATACACCGAAATCATTCTGAAATCAAATAGTTCTAACAAAAAGATTATGCTAAAATGAAATTATTTACTTAATGAATAAAACAAGTCTTACCAGCGCGTACATCTCTATTTGGTGGTATTTTGCTATATAAAGGAAAAGAACAGATTTTTTCTAATTCCTGCCTTAGTTTCTGCTATAAGACTTGGCAAAAAAAATCATCTTTCTTCATAAATTTAGGTCAAAATGTATGCTATATATTTTGGTGAAAAAAAAGAAATAGGTGTATATTAATTAGTCTTTGTGAATGTTATAGAGTCTCCAAACTCCCATATTTGGGAAATAGACACTCCAAGGTATTTCATAAAAATCATGGTGAGTTTTTTCAAATTGTAATTTGTTGCTAGAATTGTTTTGAGAAAGAACAAAAAAATATGATATTTCATAATGTTGTAATTGTAAAAGAAAGTTATTTCTCACTTACGGCATAGGCATACTTACAGTTACACCCCAAAATACGTTCTTCTACTCCTCCCAAGTATGGAGCAAGTATGGAGCAAAGAGAGGCCCAAAATACAAGGAGCACCTTCAGGTTTTAAAAGGGGCTTAAATAATGCATCTGATTTCCTGACTACCTATCACACTTCTTGGGGCCCTGAAATGCCAGGACAGGAGACATTTTGCAAAGTAGATCCTTCAACCTTTAAATTAGAGGCATAGTGAGCCTTTTGAAGATCACATTTTTGCAACATGTTTTTGGAAAAGGAAGAAAGAAAATTAAAGGTTTTTTTTTTTACACACAACCATCAATTCTTAGGATATTTCTCACACATAGTATTGGCATACTTAGGATTACACCCCAAACACTCTCTACTATTCCTCTTGAGTATGGGGATGCCACATGTGTGAGACTTTTTCAGAGTCTAGCTTCATAGATGGGCCCAAACTCCAAAGAGCACCATCAGGCTTGCAAGGGGCATAAACTACGCGTCTAATTTCTGGACTCCCTATCACATTTCTGGAGGCCCTGGAGTACTAGGACAATAGAAACACCCACAAAATGACAACATTTTGGAAAGCACCCAAAGTATTTTTAATAGGCATGGTGAATCTTTGAATATTTAATTATAAACATGCAAGAGCTGGTACATACCAGTAGAGGAAGTCACCTACAAATAAAAGGCACAGTATGTGTTTTTTAAAAGTAGAGACACATTTTTACAAGAAATGTAAAAGTTACATGTTACAGGAGGGAGGAGGGACCTCCATATTCTATTGTGAGATAGGCATGACTGAATATAAACTAACACTGTACAAACCCTGAGTGTTCAGGCAGCTGTCCATTTTACCTAAAGTTGCTGCCGTGGCTGACCTTCTTCAAAAAATGCTGGTTTTCTGAATGCTGATGCCTCTATGGTTTTGTCATAGTTTGTCCCTGTCCTGTCATTGTCATTGCTGGATAGCTTGACCTTCATGCAAACGGCGTTAGTTCTGCCAGAGCCATGTTAGAAAAGGATTTTCAAGGGGAAGAGTTTGGAGTACCATTTTTCTCACAAAAGGTATATTAATCTCATACTTCTTCACCCTTCCTTTGTGTGAACCAGACACTTGGTTACAATTAAACACTAACCAAAATTTCCCCTCATTTCATGTTATGACAACCACAAAGGATGAGCAGAAAGTTGAGATTTTAACACTGGACACCCAATGTATCAATAAACCATTGATCAAATATTCTATCATTTAAAATGATCTTTTGTTTGAAAATGATTATTTGACACAACCAAGAAAAAACGGATTTGGTCCAGTACAATAGGTTTTTCAACAGATCAGATAATTCTCTTGCAATGAAGTTGATCAATTACATATCAAAATAATTAGTAAGTGCAAACACTCTCTTAACCATTAGCCGCCCGGCCAATGGCCGTTTGGCGGCTTCAGATGTGCCTCTTCATTCCGGGTGCACGCCATTTGGCGTGCTCCCGCACATGCGCCATTTGCGGTAATGCAGAGCGGCGCAGCAGAGGGATCTGTCACGGGCCGTGCACCTCGGACACGGCCGATGACAGATCCGAGTACCGGCTCCCGTTGCTGGTACCATGTGACCTGCTGTGACCAATCACAGCATCTCACATGACAGTTGTATACAATGGATGGCTTCATTCATGATGCCATCCATTGTATACTAGTGCCTAGCTGTGAATGGTCACAGCTAATCACATGCACATGTCATGTGATTAGCTGTGACCAAATCACAGCTAAGCACAAAAAAAAAAAAAAAAAAAAAAAAAAAAAAAAAAAGCTGAATGAATCGATTTCATTCAGGTAAATGCTTGCTTATAGCAAAGTAATTCTTTGCTATAAGCAAATTGTGTAAAAAAAAAAAAAAAAAAAATACTGATCACTTCCCCAAAGTAGTACAGTGTTA